AAGTCATCAATATCATTGCCACGTCATTTTGATTTATCTCTTAACAATTCCAGGTGGATAAATGAAAAAAATTCAAATAGTCTTTTTTTTATTATCTGAACTACAATTTTTTTATTTGTGAAAACTAAAAACAAAATAAATATATGTAACAATAAATAAAATAATAAATAATTTTTTTTATCACACTTCCCTCTTTTTTAACTGCTTCCCCTGCAGATCACCCATTTCTTCTCAATTCTTCGAACTTCTCCTTCTCCCTCTACCCCAACCGCCGCTTCTCTTTCTCCTTCTCCCCTCAATCACTAATCCAAATTAATTCATTCTCCTTCTCTCAAACCATAACTAGCAGCTTCAACGACGAGGAATCTCCGGCAATCAAAGTTTCCTCGGAACTGCCTCAGAGATCCGTCAATCCAGCAGCCGAAACATCAGCTCAATCATCCAAGAGAACCCCCACCGCTCATCTCCATAGCCTCTGACCGTCAGGCGTCAGGCATGACGGATGCGGCACCGTCGGGCATGACAGTGAGGGAGAGTCGAACTAAGGAATTCTAAAAAGAGCGAATGAGTTGGGGGGAAAGGCAGAGTGGGCAAGGAGAGTAGAAGACCTTTTGGCAGAGCGGATTCCAGATTTGAAAGGTATGGAATTAATTTCATCTTCTTGTGATTAGCGGCTGGGGAGGAATCGTCACCGGAGTTGGCTGGGCCAGAATCCAAAGAATTGGAATCGGGTAGCTTGGGCTTCTTTGCTCGACCCAATTGGTCGTTGCCATCGTTGTCTGCTTGAGCGCTGGCCTCCGTATTAGAGTGACGGGCTCATCGGCGGAGGAGGGCATAGTCGTGAACACGGGAAGAAGTAGGACGAGCATGTGAGGAATTGGGATTTCAATTCTTGGGCTTCTCTAGAGATCTAAGAGGGAAGGCACCCTTTCTTCTTCTTCTTCCCCTTCCTCCACCGGTGCCTTCTTCCTCATTGTTTTCGGTTCGCTGTCGATCAGAACAGAGGGTAGGTTGGGAGGAGAGAAGTCTTTTAGTTTTATTTATTTATTTATATTTAATTTTCATATATCAGAAAACCCAGCCATTTGAAAATTTCAAATTTTAATTATTGTTTTTATTTAATATTTATTAATTAAATCCACGTGGCAAATACATACAGGACAAAAGTTGCTTGATCGGACAATTCGTTAGACCAGTCAGCATGTTAACTAACACCGTCAAACAATTGGACGAAAGTGAATATTTTTGGTATTTCACCAAACATGGCTATATTTGGCAAAACCGTCAAAGTTTTGGCTACACAAGTGTATTTGGCCTAAGAAAAAATGCAATTTGAATTCTTTAAGTAAGAATTATGATTTTGTAAACCTGTATTCAAGATTGTATCAAACTAGTTAGATGGATTATTATTTGATGGTATAATCATGGTCTAACCAATAGCTAGGGGTGGCTACACGGTCCGGTTAAATAAGCGCAAATTGTTCCAATACAGTTCGGCCTTTTTGAAAATATAAGGACCAAAGATTGGATTGGATACAGTCCGGTCTTGACCTGGTCCGGTCCCAATTCGGTCTTGATTTTATATTGAGCTTGTGGGGATTTGAGTGGCCTAAGGCCTAAAAGGGTGAGGAGTTCGTTAAGTTTTGTACTAAGTGCAAAGGTTTGTGACCGTTTATGCAAATTACCCTTAAGTTTTGGGTGTTGAGCTCTCTTATCCGGTCTTTATCCAGTTTTCGATCCGGTCCCGAACGATTTTTTACCTCAAATCTAAGCCCAAAGATTGGATTGAATTGTTTACTAACCGGTCCCGGTCCGGTCTCGATCCGGGATATACGTTTCGGTTTCGGGAAAAACTAAAAAACCCAGACCAAATAGCCAGCCCTGCCGATAGCATACCAATAAAACATCGATAGTGAATTAATATTAAAGTAGGATAATATACCAAAATATTAATGACCACAATCTAAAACCCCGATCGTTATACTTTATAGTAGGATAACATACTTTAAAGTAGGATAACATACTTTTCTTGTATATACTTTATGACCGTATCTTTTTTTTTTTTTTTTTTGCCAAAGATATTCCGGAAGGAATAGCAAGATACGAGAATATACAAGACCAAACGGTCAGGAGAAAGAAAGAAGAGCAAAACGATGATGAACAAGATGTTGAGTCATCGATGACATGACCTGTTTTGCCACGGTATGGGCAGCCCTATTGTACCTACACGGGGTGAAATGAAACGAAACACGCGCGAGAGATGTTCGTAACACCTGAACCTCCTTCATATGGCACCCCCCAAAGCGTGAGCCGAGTCATTCGCGGACACCATCCGGATAACGACCTGCGCATCACCACAAAACAACACATTAGTTACCGAGCAAAGTGAGAGAGACACCAACACATGGCATCCCGAAGCGCCATTAACTCAAGAAGAAAAGGGTTGGAAACTTCCGCATAGAATCGTCCAAGAGCAAAAGAAATAGTACTATGGGACGAGTATCCAACAAATCCAATGGCACCCCCCACTGATTCTTTTGTAGGTCCATCAAAATGGACAAGCATGAATCCATCCGGGATGGAGGGTGGTGATGGATTGCGATGAAGAGATGGATTGGGCGGATGCTGGTGTTTCCTTGAAGTGCCAGATTCTTGAACTGTAAACCATTCCGTAGCTTGAGAGTTGAATTGTCTTAGAAAGGAAGCGGGAAGGAATAGTGTAAGTTCATACGTTGATGAGCATCTCCCTTTCCAGATGCGCATATAGAGGAACACCAACTTTGTAAAATCTGTGCGAGTTAACCCTGCATCCAACAGTAGATATCTCCAACCAACTGCAACATGAAGTGAGTTAATGTAAGGAAATATATGCCCAAAACCTGTCAAATCCTATAAGCCAGCCGATATCCTACATTCCAAAAAACAAAGGGATAGAGTTTCCTTAGGGTTGGAACAAACGGGACACAACAAGCCTTCATCATCTTCTTCTTCATCAATGATTTCCTTATCCCGCAGAACGTCCCGAACAGGTAAGAAACCTTTCACTAATCACCAACGAAAAAAACGCAATTTAGGAGGAACCGAGAGAGACCAGAGAGCTTTCCAAGCTGGGAATAAAAAATGACCGGAATTGTAGAAGGATTACTCACGAAATCAGAAGCTGCAACATGGTAACCAGATTTGATCGAGTATTCACCCGAGTTTTCATAGTGCCATATAAGTTGTCAGCCATAGGAAGTTGAGGAAGAGGGATGGAGAGGATTACCTTGACCGTGGTAGCATCAAAAAGAGACTGCAACATCTCTACCTTCCATTTTCCAACCGAGTAATCAATGAGTGAAGAAACCTGTGTTGATGGTAAACCAACATGTGGTAGCAGTTTGGGACTAGAGGGAGGAGTGGTGGGCAACCAGGGATCCTTAGTGATGTGAATGGAAGTCCCAGATCCAACGAGCCAGCGGAGACCTTGCCTCAAAAGGTCCCTTCCTATCAGCACCCCTTGCCACGCCCAAGAAGTTCGGGCTCTGGGAACAGCCTGCAAGAACGAAACCTGAGAAAAATATTTAGCTTTATACATCACAGCTAAAGCACAATCCGGGGATTGGAGGATACGCCAAGCTTGTTTGGCAAGAAGGGCTTTATTATTGCTGTCGAAGTCTCGAAAGCCTAGACCACCATGGTTTTTGTGCCGACAGAGAGCTCGCCATGATGTCCATTTCATACCTTCATTTCGATCTTGTTGTGCCCACCAAAACCTTGTCAGACTTCAAGAGTATCTCCTTAGCAGCAAGGGACAAAGCCTTGGATTTCCACTGTTGTAGTCGAGCAAACAACTTATCTTCAATGAACTGAAAGGTGGATTGTTTTGACCGTGCAACATGTGTAGGAAGTCCTAGTTAGCGGTCCTCTAACGTACTTTCCGCAACTCCCAGTAGGGAAGTGATTTCTGCTGCTTCCTCAGAAGTAATGTTCCTGCTGAAAGTGACTGAGGACTTATGAAGATTGACTTTTTGTCCACTGACATGTTGGTAAGAGGCAAACAAAGAGAGAAGGTTATGGCATTCCGTGATGGACGCTTTGATAAATAAATAAATAAGTACCGTCAGCAAAAAAAAGATGCGAGAGCACCAGACAACGCCAGTGAACTTTAATCCCATGGAGGAATTGAGCATGGATGGCCTGATCAATGAGTGGGAAAAACCTTCTGTATAGAGAGCAAATAAAAGAGGTGATAAGGGATCTCCTTGGCGAATACCACGCTCTGGGTGGAAGAAAACATGAGGGCTGCCATTCAATAAGACTGAGAAAGAAACAGTGGTAACACATTGGTGAATCCATTGTAACCACTGATCACAGAAGCCCAAGCGTTGTAAAAGAGAAAACAAAAATTCCCATTCAACCCTATCATATGCTTTCTCCATGTATAACTTTAATGCCATCCATTTTTCATTACCAGAGGTTTTAGTTTTGAGGAAATGCAACACCTCCTGCCCTATAAGAATATTGTCAGAGATCAACCTACCCTTTACGAAGCCATTTTGAAAGGGACTTACCACATGAGGGAGGACAACACTAAGTCGAGAAGTTAAAATCTTGAAGATCACCTTGTAGGGGACTTGGCACAACCCAATGGGGCGCATTTGTCTCATCGTCTCTGCATTTGGAACTTTAGGCAATAAAGTGTACCATGTATGGTTAAAATTTGACAGCAAGTGACTTGTAACAAAAAATTCTTGAACTGCAGCTACCACAGAGTCCTCTACTAAAGTCCAAAACGATGGGAAGAAGAGACCGGTAAAGCCATCTGAACCAGGAGCTTGGTAGCCTCCTATCATCTTAACTGGCAGTAGACGATTTTTGTGATCTGACCGAATGGTGAAAAAATGAAAAATAAAAAATAAAAAAAGGTTAGAGAAGATAAGACAAGATAGAGCCCGGTTCCGAGATTTTCTCCCGAGTCGATTCCCAAGTCCATTACGCTGGGCTTTGTTGACATTGGGCCTCACGAATCCATTTCGTAGTCCAGTTATGTGGAAGATGATATTGGGCTAGCTTTTGGTCATCGTTCTAGGCTTCTAGCTCGTGCGAGTTTCAGGTCTGGCAAGCACTGGAAAACCTACCAGCTTCCTCGTCGGCTGAGCTTCTGATCGACCTCGTCTCCCTATCCCAGTCCTTCGCCGGCGGAAGCTGTTCACCTTTCAAGATCATCTCTCATCGCCGTCCGGCGTATCATTCGAAAGCCGGTTCGTTATCGCTCTCGATTCTCTGTGCAAATCTCGCCCTTTTGTAGCTCGTTTGAACTCGGTTCATATTGCAAGATCCGGACTTTGCAACATTTTGAGTTATGGGTTCGCTAAATTGAATCGTTGCAAGTTTAGGGTCCGTTTCTAATTGGGGAAATTGGAATTTATTTGCTGTTTATTTTTTTTTTCAGTAGCCATGAAGGTTAGATCATCTGTGAAGAAGATGTGCGAGTTCTGCCAAGTAATTAAGCGGCGTGGGCGAGTCTATGTGCTTTGCAGCTCCAATCCTAAGCACAAGCAGCGACAAGGCCTGGCCACGTTTGCCCATGAAGGACCCTTGTGCGTAAATCTCCTTTCCCTCACACTTATTAACGGTTGAATTTTCCCTGTTAGAAATTATGAGAAGTCAGTTTCATTTCAGTGGATACAATACTATTGACGCTGGATGTAGTCGAACTGATTGTATAACGCTTTTCATGCATAGGAGTAGGAGATTAGATGCTATGTACATATAGAAGCAGTTATGTTGCAGATAAGGAGCTGATTCGGTCCAGAACCGTCGTTTGTTTGTGCGCCATGTCTTTTGTTCTGAACAACGAGGGTTGATAGCTTAGCATTAAGGCCATTGAGCATTTGGATAAACAGTAGTGGAGGATAGGTGTCATGGCGCTGACATGATGAGATAGAAGGTTTCAATTTTCAAACTTCGCGCATACTTCCCTTAAGGCACTTAAAATCTTGAAGTTTGTTTAGTTTAATGGGGAACCAAGCAATGCAAGTTGCAGGCAGTTTCTCTTGAAGTCCGGTTTCTGTTTTACCAGAACTTTGCTCGACAGATACCACACTATCAAGTGACTTTGACTGGATCAGAGTTTTCAATATAGGGGGTTTTGATGTTACTTAAGCCGATGTGAACTGAATAACCATGCTTTCGTTTCCCTGTCTTTCTGTGCAATATCTGTGCTAATAGTGTTCGGCACAACGACACTTGATGTTAATCACACTTGTTAACACCATCTTTCACCATCTTCATGTCAGGTCTACGGAGTCTACTACCACCAAAGTGATCACCACCTCTAATCACAGTCTGCCTTCTCTCACCCCTAAAAGACGTGAGCCGATGACATCCGTTGCATTTGGATGGAGTGGGAGCCTTGCATCTCTTCTCTTCAGGCAACCGAAGTAAGATAACCGACTAACAATCGTTTCTGATCAAGCTTATTGCATACTGGTGATCAATACTGAAAACGCCTCCTTGAATTCTTCACCTCCCTACTGAAACATTGAGGTTTTCTGTGTCAAGAGAATAGGATGATGTTAGACATGTAGCCATACTTCTGCAGTCATCCTCCTGCATAATCGATCCGTTTATCATTAGTTTGAATCGTGTCTACTGAATCCTTCCTAGTTGATCATGATCTTACCGACATTTGACTGATGCAGGTTTTGTTGATATGGGCCCTTCCTATTTTGGACAATCCTTAGAATCGACTCCTCCTAACTTCGGTTTTTGATTGCCGGGCTTCATTGGCCCACAAGTGAAATCAATGGAAAGGTGTTTGGTTGGATCCTTTAAGAATTTGCCACCCCATGGCTAATTGAAATTTGAAACCCTAAATTAGGGTGGTCTATTAGTTAGTTGTAACTGTGTGGAATGCGAAAGTTCAATGATTCTCCAACTTCCAAAAAGCATTATTGTTGAGAAATTGGTTGAATTAGGATTGAAAACAGCAAAGGAGATAAGGTAAGGAGGGTCCCTCATTTCAATTCACAGCCAACATTTATTGTCATTCATGATTGAGGTTCCAAAATGGCTAGCTTGTTCATGAAATGAATATGAGATTCAGATTTGTTTGAACTTCAAACAAACTCAAGTTATCTTATAAAGATTAGCAGGTTCTCGACTTGGTATATCAAAGTCTTTGTTTGAGAGGTCGTAAGTTGGTTATCTTAGTTAGTAGCTCTCAATATTAATGTTGAATTGATGCACAATGTATATGATGTGTCTGAGCAGTTTTTTAGTTCATTGGACCATTTTACATATTTCAACAACTAAATAGTTAAGATGAAGTGAAAGAGGGTTTGATCTAACAACTAGTTTTCAATCTCGAGATCCTAGATTGGAATCTTGGTGAACTTCCCCCGCGAATGCCCTTCAGTAGCATAGGGAAAAAAATTAGTAAGACCAACCGATTTTTGACACCCGGTTAAATTATAACTAAATTTGGGAGAATGTAAACGAATAATGTAAAACTTTATGTTAATCATCTCTCCATGTTATAAAAACCAACCAATATGATCATTATACCATCAGAATCATCATCTTCATGAAAGAATAAATTAAAAGATAGAGATAAAAAAAGTTCCTCTAAAGGAGATTATGATAATCACTACACCACCTTTGATATTGTTTTCTCACAACTATTTAATGTCTTTGCTTTAGTTTCCTTTTGCCTTGTTCTCGTGGCCATGGCCTTCATTCTTTTCCTCTCCCTTTATCACTTTGGTTGAGTTGTACAATTCTTTTTGGATTACGTTGAAACAAAGTATGCATATTCTCTTTTGGGTAAATGACATATTTGGTCACTGAGATTACTAAATCGTGTCATATTTAGTCACTAGAAAAATTTAATATCAATTTTGGTCACTCGAATTACTGAAACAGATCACATTTGGTCACTCTTCTGTAGCCTCTGTCCAACTCCGGTCACTCGAATTATTGAAAAATGTCACATTTAGTCACTCGGATTACTAAAACATGTCACATTTAGTCACTCTCCCAAAAGTTTCCGTCCAACTACATTAATGGAGTTGGACGGAAACTGACGGGAGAGTGACTAAATTTGACCAGTTTCGGTAATTCAAGTGACCAAAATTGATATTAATTTTTTCTAGTGACTAAACATGACACAATTTAATAATCTCAGTGACCAAATGTGTCATTTACCCATTCTCTTTTGGACAGAAACAAAAAGTTAAACTAGGTACCTGAAACTATATTATAGGAACATGTCTTCCCTTTTTCATTGTAAAGAAATATCATCATCCACGTTAAGCAACTTGATTTGTCACAGCTCTTATGGTCATGGATGGATCTTTTTTGTTGGGAGAGGTGGAGCGATGTAGAGTCCAGAAAGTGAAAGTGGCAAAGATGGTGGGTTATTATTACCTCTGTTATGTAGATCACTGTCAATCACGATAAATTGGTGCGATTTGTCTTGTTTCCAATTCCTGATTACTCTAAATTTTAATTTGATCATTGTTTGATACATGTATAAAAATTTACCCGTATTAGCATGTATTATGTGTACACCCCACCCAATCATTACGGAGAACTTCTATATCTACTAGGACCTAATCAGAACACACCTATGGTAACTCTGTGTACTCACTGTTATACGTGGACTTTATTTGGCATATTGATTAGAATTAAACAAGGAGAAGCTAACATCAGATAATGTTGAGAGTGTTATATCCGATTGGATAAGTTTACATGTACCTTATCCTTAAACTTGCCATGATCCTACCTACTAACATTCCTACTTGAGATGGACAAACATCAAGCTCATTCATCTCCAAATTTCAAAAGGTACATGTAATCTTTCAAATCGTTCGAAACTCTCATTCTGAAATGTGATTCAAAACAATAATAGCTACGAGGTCTTCTGCACGAACCATCATGACCGCTTAAACAAATCATCATCTACTAACATCCACTAATTAGTGGTACCATATATAAGTATGATCTTTCTAGAGATCATAGTGAAATTTTGACCTAAAACCATTCAACCCAAACCATTGCCTAAACATTAGCAAGGCAAATGCACGCGGGAATAGGAGCGCGTGAAGAGCGTAGTATAGGTTGACAAAGGCAAATAATCCAATACCTTGAAGCGCTTACAGACACCTCATTAATCAATTACTTAACTTCCTCCATTCCTCTCCTTTCTCTCTTCTTCTTCCTCACTATTTTTCTGTCACTTTAATCACTCGCCCAAAAACCCACTGCCTTCTTCTCTACCCAGCAGCCACCACCAACATTCCTTTCCCACACACACTCTCAACGCATCCCCACAAGTCGCAGACACAAAGAACCCACTAGCAGGTTGTCATGGTGGAGAACAGAACAGCAAATCAACGCTACCCATTTCCAATTCGAGCATAAAGTTGATTCCTTTCCTAGAGCTTTGTTCCTCCCCCAAATTTGCACTCGGTTCCAATTCGATGATTGGGTTGTTCCGTGTTGTTGATTGCTTGATCAAATGGTGACACTTAGTAACGCCTCTGTTTGTTCTTGGATCGATCACTTACTCGCTTGTATGGGGTAAGTGATTTCGTTCACCTTTTTTGAATGTTTTCTTGTTTCTGAGTTTCTTTTGCTTGTGTATGTCTACATAGTTTTCTGGGTATGGTCTTGGATATCTGGAATCCCGGTTAGAAATTTATCTGGGTCCCTGTTTGTGTGTTGGGAGCACGAGTTGGGATAGAATAGAATTGTTGTTTTTCTTGTTTGGGGAAGTTGGATTAAGGGAGACAATTGTTGGGGAGAAAGGGCTAAATTTGCTGATTTCAATTTGGTAGAGAGAATTTTTTTTTTCCTCAATTTTGTTTTTCATTCTCCCCTAATTAATGAAGATTGTATATTGCTAATTGTTTAATGATCTTGTCATTTGCTTGGTCCTTGAAGTGTTTATAGCTTTTATAGGTGGATTAGTTAAAGCAGTAGTGGTTGTGAGGCATATATAATAATGGTCTCCAAGGACTGGAAATTTTCATCACCTGATAGAGATGGAATTCCTAACACAACCAGTACATAAGAGAACAGGTAGAGAATTGTTGGCTCCATAGTGTTATGCCATCAAGTCATGTCTGGGGGAGATAAACTTTCCATTAGAGTGTATGTATGTCAATGAGATTGCTTGATTTTTGGATGGGAAGATTGAATGCTTTTTCTGTTTGTTTATTTCAGGCTAATCTGGTTTAGGCCTTTTGATTGTGTCTTCAAATCTTTTTTTGTCTATGAGATGGAAGTTGCACAAACATCAATCTGTTCATTTCCTTTTCCTAATTATATGGTATTTGACTATTTGCTACTCCACTAAGCTTGTCTGGCAGCAAAAGGAAACCAGTTCAATGAATGTGAAATTTTCTGTATTCTATACATTTCAATACTCTATAAGTGGTATAGTTGTTGCCAACAGGGTTTTTGTTTGTGGTTTTGGTTTCTAACTTGGTTTGGAACAGAACAGTGGTTGTTTTGGATGCTGCGCGAAGCCCACACCGATAATTGCTGTGGATGAGCCATCGAAAGGATTGAAGATACAAGGCCGGGCAGTGAAGAAGCCTAGTGTATTTGAAGATTTCTGGAGCAGCAGCACATGTGAGCTGGATAATAGTGCTATTCAGTCTCAAAGAAGCGTATCCTCAATCAGTGCTTCAAACCCCAACACTAGCAGTGGTGGTACCATGAGTGGCAGTACGACAGACTTTGTGAATCATGGTAATAAACTGCAATCCTTTTTTACTTTGCTCTTCCAAGTTTACTTCCGTTACTCTACTGTGTTAGTCAAAATTGTTTTATTACAGACCTCTTACAGCTTTTTGAATGCATGAGTGCAGGTCTGCTTCTGTGGCAGCAGGGCAGGCTTCAATGGACTAGGAGTGGTGAATCTACCAGCAATCAAACTCGTCAAACATGCGGACCCCGATTGAGGTAACTGAGAAACCTCTCTGTAGACAGTTACTTATTTTTCCTTAGCAAGCACACAGTCACATACTATAGTAGAAGTGTAGAACTTCATTGGTTGGTAAAAATGCTTGCTGCCATTCTCGTCTTGTTGGTGGTGGACCGATGGTTGTTCAAATTTCGCCGAATAGATCATCAACATCTTCATCTCTATGATGTGTTGTGTAATCATTGTCCTGTATATGATTTTGATGCTTTTGCAAAATAGGGACAACCTGATGCATTATTTTTCCTTCACCCTCCAACCATCTTCTAACATCTTCATTCAAATCATTGTACCAACGAGTTGATGCTTTCGGTTTGATTTGTGTGACAGAAGATGATGTGTTTCCTTCCATTTGTAGCTAGCAAGTACCCTTTGGTATTTACAGCAAATAAAGAGAAACCCCACTGTCACAAAGTCACATTCCATTGTCTGTTCTTAATGCTTTGATTTAACATCCAGTTGGAATGCAACTTATGAAAGCTTGCTTGGAAGCAGGAACCCTTTTCCCCGGCCTGTCCCGCTCGCTGTAAGTCCTTGAACCCCCCCCCCCCCCCCCCCTGAGCTTGTTTCCTGCATCTCTCCAGTGAAATGAGAATCAATACCTCCTGTTTTTCCGGTTTCAGGAAATGGTAGATTTTCTAGTGGATGTATGGGAGCAAGAAGGTTTGTATGATTGAATGAAGAACAAAACTCTTAAAAGTTGGGAGATATGCTTCAGAATTGTACATGTTTTTTTAAAACTCTTTACATTCCCCATTTCTCTAGACGACTTATGTATATACTAAATAGTTTCTGAAAAGAAACAGTTAAGAGGTAAAAAGGTTGAAAAGAATGGAAAGGGCTTTAGCATGTTTGATCTTTGAGATAAATTGGCCTCTTGTGTTTGGTATTTGGTAAGCTACGCCTACCAAGAACTTCCCTTTCTCCCTTGTAAATGTGGCCAATTGAACAAATTGTTATACTCTGATTTCTTAATATAATTTATCAATCTTTTGTGGCATCTGATATGTGGATATGTGATGAAGATCCTAGTTGCTTGTGATCGATTATCTTGCTTTGATCATACTGCGATTGAACTTGTCACAATCTAATAAAGTTTGCATCTTTTTTGTTAAATTCAACTGAAAGCTAAAGACAAAAACACAGAATAATTGAAAACATCAAAAGGGGAAGAAGCAAAAAAGAAACTAAGGTAGTAACTGCGCAACAAATAACAATGGCTATCTATCTCTCAAGGCATATTGCTGAACTTGTCGACCTGCTTCATCTTGGAGAAATCAAAGTTCTTCAAGAGGTCCTGCTGCTGAATCTGGTCGCTGGTGGGTAAACCCATCTGCTTCTGCCTCTGGTCGAACATCATCTTCTCCACCGTCGACCTAAGCTCCGGATCCAAATCGCTCAGCTTGCTGTTCTCCGGCTGCACCTTCTGGGTATCAATCTCCGGCCCGCCCTTCACCAGCGACTTCCACCAGCTCTTGTTCTTCTCCTCGAATTTCGTCAGCAGAACAGAGACGGTCTTCTGATCCTCCAATTGCCAGAAAGAATCGCTCACTTTCACCGGTCCGAACAGCTCGCCGTCGATGATCATCGCCGGCTCGCCCTTGAACCCTAGCTTCAGAGACTTCTTCTTGATCTCGCACACAATCTGCCTAGATTTGGTTCCGGCAGGGACCGGAACGGTGATCGTCACCTCCTCGAGGCTCTGTCCCCACGAATAGTTCTCCAGGTCGAGCCCATTGCCGGAATTTGGAAGCAGAGAAGTGGTGTTGTCCTCCTTCTTCTCCTTCTCCGCCGCTGCCGGCTGGGGATTGGTTGGAGGGGGAGAATTCTGGGTTTGGTTGGACTGGGTTTCTTCGATGTCGGAGAGGATCGCCATGGCTGCTGCTGCTGAGTGGATTTTGTTAGGGTTTTGGAGAAGTGGGTTTCGTTGAGGGAACGGTGGGCGATTGGAGGTACCGTATTTATAGAGAAGAATTAATGGCGATTCAGCTTCCGGTTCAGATTCGGAAATTTTATGGTTCTAGTACTTTCTACGAGAAGGAGTCCGTACCCTACTAGGATTGGATATTCTAATCCACCGGGCTTCAGCAATGGACCGGGGGATGCTGATATTTAATGGGCCGAACTTGGCCTTTTTAAGCTTTTGAAGCTTTATCTCCAGCCCGTCAAGCCCAACATGATGCGCGAATTATGTTTTGTTTAAATTGGTAAGGAGCTAAACTCAAATTTTTAGCTCTAGGACTTGGCTCAGTTTTTTTTTTTACATATCTATATGAAGTCTCTGAGGTCTCTGGGTTTGGAGAACAAGATTTGGAAAATGGATTTATTGAATTCATAAATTTAACAAAATATTATGTTTTTTACTACTTTTTGTATCGTGGATTGTAGATTTAAAGATTTTAAATCTCTAAAATCTCTTCTAATTAGAGAGATTTTACATCTTGATTTTAGAGATTTTCTCTCTCTTACTCTTTCTCTTCCTTTATTCAATTTATCCCACTAAATATCCTTATTGATAAATTTTGTCAATATTTTTTGAGCCATTTAATTATTTTGGTTAAGGATAAATATGCCATTTTATAAACAAATATAATTTTTTTTATTGTATGTTAACAATCGCAGTTATCAAACAATGAACATTTTCTAATATTTTTTTCAACAATCCGGAGAGTTCAAATCTTTGGATTGTTTAGAATCTAGAGATTTATACTCTAATTCTCCAAACGAGCCCTTAAGTCTTCTAAGAGAACCCATAACAAAACTTAAATTTTCACGTACGAATATTTTATAAATGGTAAATACCACATTTGGTCACTGAGATTACTAAATCGTGTCATGTTTAGTCACTAAAATTTAATATCAATTTTGGTCACTCGAATTACTCAAATAAGTCATATTTAGTCACTCTCCCGTTAGTTTCCGTCCAACTTTATTAATGGAGTTGGACGGAAACTAACAGGAGAGTGACTAAATGTGACCTGTTTCAGTAATTCGAGTGACTAAATGTGACACATTTCAGTAATTTGAGTGACCGGAGTTGGACGAAGGCACTTAATCACCTTGTGATTTCAAAAATTCGGGTTGGGTAAGCTGGACTCCCTAAATTCGAGTTATTGAGATCAACGAGTTCTTGACATAGTATCAGAGACTAGTGTGCCGAAAAATATAATGTTCGAATCCCAATGACTCACATTTGTTAATCACATGGTATTTGGACCTGTCCTCAAGCCTAAATGTATAGGTTTTCATTTGAGGGGGTGCGTTAGCAATTGGTATATGATCCATAATTGAACGTCTCCCAACAACTCAACTTATTGGATCAACCGGGTATTGACAGACATCAAGTCCGTGTTGGTTGAGTCGAGCGCGAGACTCTGGCGACGTTCCTCCCTTTTCTTCGATCAAATCGGACTATGAAAAACCCTAATTTCGACTTTGACAAAATCAAGTGAAAGAAGGTGAAGAGAACAGAGAATCGAATCGATGGGAAGGGAAAGTGACTTCTGTTTTCGTGTTTGTCAAAACGGCAACGGATCTGTCACTTGGTCTTGAAACGGATTGGGCTTAGATTGCTATAAGGCTGTCAATGCTTACGCGGCCCAAATCACTTGAGTGAGACATTGCGTTTTGGGAACTCAGTATCTTCCTCCTTTCCTTGACCCAATCGATCAACAACCTGTTCTTCCTAAAGTTCGCACTCACACAAAATCAAGAACACTGATAAGAGCTGGAAAATATAAAACACAGTTAAGAACACATAAACCTGGACACGATATTTTTACGTGGTATCTGGTGTTAGGCGATTAATGAACCTAACACCGACTAATCCACGGTCGAAGGATCTCTGATCCGAGACCTTTGACGTTGCACTATGATTTTGAGTTTCAGTTACAATCATACATCACCAATCTCGCAGTGACTCCCTGTCACTTGATCAGAGTCGCACTTGAGATACTAGCTCCCCGCCGATATCTCAACCTAACTGTCAACACCCTCTACAAGCTCTCTCTCCTACAACTTTCTCCTTTTTCTTTCAAAAACAGACATTCTCCCTGACTCTGTTTTTGAAAAATCGAGTGAAAAAGGTGAAACTATCTTTTCTCCATCCCTCTAAACTTATACCCATCTTCCTAGCCGTTAGTTCATCCCAATCTTGAGGATTTGATTTGATCTTGATTGATTGACAAACCGATCTTGCTTGAGTGAGAGACCTTTCCCAAATTGCTTGCCGAGACAGAGTTTCCTTCTTTGACCATTTTCTGCAGGCTTCCTTAATTAGACGCTATTTGACAAGCTTCCCTTCAACAGTCCGTGCACTGGGCGGACAGTTTAGGGTTAATGGTCTTCTTCCCTTTTGTTGTTCAAATGTATAGTAGAGGGGCTAAGGCAGCAATTCGTAACAGACGACTATGATCAAATAAGAAACGTATCTTGAATAGTGCAAACTCTTGCGTAAACTGATTTCGATATCGAGAAAAATCACACGAACGATTTGTTGTCCTTCCTTTTGTTATTTTTATTCGAATTGTTTTTGCCATCATTAGGAATAACAAAATAACCTCATCACCGCATGTATCCAATTGAATCCAAATTGATTTGATTGGAAGAGAACCAAATGAAATTACTTCCGGATTGGTCATTCTTGACAAAAAGAGTAACTAGTTCGACACAGTTTTGATATTTTAAGTATCCGCACTATACCCACGGAATACCATTTTGGAGAGACCGACATGGTTGAGGAAAACCTAAAAAAAAGAAAAGGAGAAGCACGCAGCAGCCACAGCATATCATCATCATCAGCCAAAGCCCTCCCGTACAATGAACATTCCAACAATTCTAAAACAAGGCAAAGAACAGACAAATTGAACAAAGATGATCCATGCTATGCTACCGTTTGAACACGCAGCCTCTGAACTTTCTGCAGTTGTGTCTGCATGCGTACAAGAACCCGTAGACCACGCTTACAATTGGAAGGAACACAGAAACACCTCGTCGGTCGGTTTGTAGTAATTCAGGTGAGGTCGGGGAATCTGAATCCATGATTTTGATCCCGACCATGTCTATATTAATCCTCTCTCCCAATTCCCCCATGTGATTCTGAACAATACAATTAACAACGGATTTAATGTATTGGGAATTAGTCTGAACAATACATATTATATTAAGCCAACAAATGCATCTCACTTAACCGCAAAGGATGAATATTAATTGGAGTGCTCCGGCCGCCGCCTGTAGGCGCACCAGCTGAAGTCGGCGCGGTTTTCAGGAGACAAAGTTTCGACCAGAATCATTGTATCTGCTGTCGGTTAAGGATAGCTAGCGTATAAGCATGTAACTAATACCTGTGTCCCGTACTTTCAACGTCAAACCAAAAATTTTACATGTAGACTTTTAGTTATAGCAATCATTCTTAATACGGTTTAAAACATCTTATCCTAAAACATCATTAATCCATAAAATAGAGTTCAATATTATCCATGTCAATTATCTCTAACTTTGATACATTTACTAAGCGATAAGTAACTAACATAATCTTGTTAGCAAGGGGGGAAGTGAAAGAATGAAGGGGAAATTAAAGGAATGAAGTTAGGTTTTGGTTTGGGTGGCCACTCAATTACATTTCTATATGTTTTTTAGTTACCCTCACCATCATTCACATGTTACAATTTGATTCCTAAATTTTATATATGTGGAGAAATACTTTTTGTGTGGCGTGTATGAATCTGAGTATGGGTATGGAGCATGAGAGAGGTTAAAATCATGTACACCCGCCTAATACCCATCAAATTTTATGAGAATTTTACCCATACTTGCCCCAACTAATTAGTCAGCTATTTGATTGCCGCAGAAGAATCGGATAATCGTGATCGTGGGTTTGATTGACATCTCTAACTACAATTAGTCAACTATATATACGATTGTACTGCTACAAGTCAAATCTGCATACTGCTACAATTTCAATTTCAACGAGTAACGACTACAACTCTATTACGGACTACTACAACTCATGATCAGTGTGGTTCTAAGTTCTAACCGATCCCCAACATTTTTAATTGCAGTGTGCGAGTGTTAAAACATTAAGTAATAAAATTGAATATCTTTTTAATTAAATAAAATTAGAGATCTGCCAGTGTTCCCACTTTCCATCAAGCAATGGCACTTGCACGTGTCGCAAAAATTATCTGTTCTTCAAAATGCAGAGAATGAAGGCGAGAGAGCTAGGGGCAGACAAAATTTCCCCCTTTGAAATTCTTTTAATCCAATCATTGAATCTCGAACAATTTTTTTTTAACAAGTTTACCATTTTCAGTCATGAATTAATGTGCATATATAGCCGTCGAAGGTACATACATAAATACGAGGTTCATGTTCCATGGGACGCGCGGTGTCAGAAACGGCGGGGGATCCCTTCTTCCACCTCTTTTAATTTCTTTGTTGTGTCCCTAGCTTGTCGAGTTTTTGCCCCAGATTCATTGCAAGACATTCATCATTGTCTGCAGAGAGTTTGTTGTTCTGATGT